GTCAAAAATTATATAATACAGACAAAGATATATTAGATGTATTCATGTCTATGAGCTAAGTTGAAGCACTTTTAATTTTCTAGTATGTGAAACAAAAATTTGGTTCTTTGCAGCTAGAGAGAAAGTATCACAGGTAAGGCAGCTTCAATCCACGTCATAATATATGGTTTCCCAAACACAACTGGGCATGTTCATTGGGTATGCCCCCACCCATTTGGTTTTTTGGTTTTAAAGCCATACCCAGTGGTCCTGGGGGAACCATGATACAGGGCCAAGGCCTTCCATATACAAAACTTGCACTAGCCTGTAGGAGTATTCTCCACCCCGCAAATTTGGCTCTTCTTTAAATCTGCTAAGGGCTTGCATATCTAGACGCCTTTTCAAATTCAAGGTAACTCCAGTCTCTAGGTCTATTTTGAGACAAGATTTTTTTTTTTTTTAAGATTTGGTACATTTCCTCAAACAGCTAAAAATCTTTACAAGATGAAATGAAGGTCATGTGAAGGAAATGATAAAAACTATTGAGAATCCAAAAACATTATTCATGGAACACCATGTGCCAGATAGTCTCTGTGCTTCATGCATTCACATTTGATCTTCCTAATGCTGTTACCCTAGTTTTGTGGCCGTGGAAATTCTAGACAGTATAAGTAAACTTGCTTAAGATCACACAGGTACAGGCAACAGAGCTGAATGTAATCATGTAGTTGAACTCATTTTTTAAAAGAAAGCTTTGTAGGCTACAGAATGCACGAAACGCAATCTGACAGGCGTGGCTGCTCCAGTTTGAGTGGGGCCGTCTCAGCTGACCAGAGCCCTGCCCAAGGTGCAATAACAGCTTGTGAACCTGACTGAGACGTTCAATTCTAACCTTTACATATAGGTAAATGCAAGCCCAGAGGGGTAAGTTGACCTGTTCAAAGTCACAAAACTCTGAGCAATGTCTGGACCACAATTTCCAGTCCTCTGCTTGCCTGGCGACCATAGTTCCTGTGGCAAGTCCCTTAAGGGTGAAAGTCCACTGTGTAAGCTGTACCTCCGCGCTCAGCAGTGCTGACTACTGACCCTTCAGAGTCTAGCTTCTCACTGACTGAAGGGACAGGACTGCACAGACCTTTGTGGAACAGGTAAAGGAAAACCACATAAATTGTTACTCCTGCCCCTATTCCAGGTCCCTAAGTGAGTGGAGAGACTACTGCCACCTGATGTTTCTATCCCAGTGCCTCTTCTTTGGAAACAGACCCTTGTAAACTTACCCTACATGGTGGCCGCTGATGCTTTCTGGTGGATCTTGGTGTACAATTGTGTGCTCACACCTCTCATTGTTCATAGCTCTTGATGTTGCTGCAATCTGGGCTCCGGTCTTAAGAGAAGTGTGTTGTCTCTGTGGTACATGCTCTTCTGATAGCTGTGTTGGCTGCTTAGGAGTCAAGACTTCCATTTGCTTGAGGGACCACTGTTATATGCTGTTGTGTTTGCTTTAGGGGAAAGGGGTTGGGGGTGGGGGTGGGGTGGGGGTTGGTGATGCTAGCTCAGAGTAGCTCCTTTGTAATGCTCATTCCATTCTCCTCTGCTGCATTTGTTTCTAGGGTGGGTGTCTGAATGCTCATTGGTCCTGTAACTTAGTTATTCAGTGGTCCTGTGTAATTCAGAACCTGTTGGCTTCCTGTGACCCACTTGCCCCCGAAAACTTTGTACTGTTAAGCAGGCTTTCCAATTTGAGCTTTTTTACAATGACTGCTCGCTGTTGTGTGAAAGCAGATTTTGAGATCCTCTTAACAATCTTCCTAGAATTACCTTTTCCTTTACTGTTTCCCTTGAATGTCCATGGAACTGTTAAATAAAGTGAGTTTCATAATTTTGTTCTTAAAAGCTGCTTTTGTTGGGAGTTGTGTTGAAAATGCTTTCAGTAATTTGGCAAAATATTTGATGTTCCCATTTTTTTCTGAAATCTGTTTTTTGATTTGCCAAGTTCTTAAAAAAACACGATGAAAGCAATGGACACACTAGGAAAAAGGCATATCACCACATATGCTCACACAAAATTTCAAGGAGGTGAACAATGTCTATGCTGAGGAAATCTTTTTAAATGGCAGCACTTTTATATTTAGTGTCAGCTAATCTCGTGGGCTGGGGTGATAGGACAGCGGATAGGGCGTTTGCCTTGCACGTGGCCGACCAGGGTTCAATTCCTCTGTCCCTCTCGGAGAGCCCGGCAAGCTACCGAGAGTATTCTATCTGCAAGGCAGAGCCTGGCAAGCTCTTCATGGTATATTCGATATGCCAAAAACAGTAATGTCTCACAATGAAGACATTACTGGTGCCCACTCGAGCAAATCTGAACAATGGGAGGACAGTGCCACAGTGCTACAGTGCTAATCTCATATGTGTGACCTACAACTGCAGATTTTGAGGGTTCATCTCAAAATCCTGGTATGCTGGGCATCAGTTATTTGGATAAATTTCCTATAATTACCCTGTCAGAGTTGTCAGAGTCAGTATTCTGTCCCCTCTGAAATGGGAAGATGACTGTTTTTTTTTCATACTGAAGTTGATCTTAATACGAAAAGTCATTTGAAAATTTCCCTCACACCTATGGAAATAGTGGATATAAAGCTTATGTTGGTGTAAAACAAAGATTACATGTGTATTTTTGGGAATGCACTGAGCTCTGAGTGAAAGAGGGCTTCTGGAGTTGGGGTGGATGGGGGGCTAGAAGCCTGGAGTGCTGACTCAGGACTTGCAAACTATACATTCCTTTCTCTGCAACTTTGACTTGCCCGAGTTCCTTCTTAAGAGGAGAAAAGATCTACAATAGTCACTTTCTTTGGACAATAAGGTAGGGGGAAGAAGAGAGTTGGCTTTTGGTCTTTGGTCTTTTGGACACAGGAGCAAGTTACTGAGTTACCAGCTCAGCAACCTAAAGACAGGGAAACTTTTTCACTTGAATTTCCCTTAGGTATACTAGGAATCCATGAAGAGAAAAATTAATTTGACACATTGACAACAGTACACAGCATCAATGGCTCACACTTGGATAGTCCATTAAATATACCAAAAAAATGGTTATTATGGCTCACACTTAGATAGTCCATTGGAGGGGCTGCAGCGATGGCACAGTGGGTAGGCCATTTGTCTTGCATGCAGGCTGACCCAGGTTCGAATCCCAGCATCCCATATGGTCTCCTGAGCACCGCCAGGAGTAATTCCTGAGTGCAGAGCTAGGAGTAACCCCTCAGCATTTCTGGGTGTAACCCAAAAAGAAAAAAAAAAGATAGTCCATTGGATAGACTGTACCAACAAAAATGGTTATTGCTGCCAAAATTTCATAGTACACTATGGTATCACCCAAAGGAGTGGGGCATTATAAACAAAGCTGCCAGATGGTAAGAAATACAAATTGCAGTGGTGGTGTCAATATGTGAAAGAGTTAAAAAGACAAATTATCAGATACTTTACACTACTGATAAACCAGGAGTAGCACACCACATTGGATGGGGTGTAAAGTAGAAGGCAACCAATCTCGATTAAGAAAACATTAACCCATATTATAGGCTTAACCTATAACAACATGTTAATAATCTCTTATACAGAGCTTAATGGCTCCAGGGTGAGATATAAAAATCTTTACACACTTTCTTTTAAGAAAATATTTTTTGATCATTTTTAGCAAATTAATCATAACAGGTAATACAAAGTAAATCATTTAGGGCCTGCTATTGGGGTAAACTTGGGTGGTGGTTGGGAAAATTGGAAATAATGGTGATGGGATTGAATGTAATAAATCATAGTTAACAACTTTCTTAAAAAAACCCTTTAATTAGTGCTTAAAGAATACCTTTTTCTCTCTCTTTTCCTTTTTTTTGGTTTTTGTGCCATACCTGGTGATGCTCAGGGCTTACTCCCAGCTCTGCACTCAGGAAACACTCATGGTAGTGTTCAGGGGACCATAAGATGGCAGGGATCGAACCCAGGTCTGCCATATGCAAGACAGTTGTCCTACCTGCTATACTATCGCTCTGGCTCCTCTATATGACTTCTAACAGTTTTTGTTGCTTTTGCTTTCTTTGGGTCACGTCTAGTGATGTTTAGGAATCACTCCTAGGAGGGCTTGGGGGTTTGATGTGATGGTTTACAGCTTTGTTTATAATGCCCCACCACCATATGTGGTGCTGGGGATCAAACCAGGGGTCATCTGTGTCTAAGGCAAGTGCCTTAACTCCTGTAGTATCTCTTGACCCCACTTTAAACTGTAACTTAAACACTGAAGGTCAAGTGAAGACACACTCTTCCACAGGTCCCTTGCCATCATCCACACTCATCCTGGGACAATGGACACAGAGGGGCCACTAGCTGGAAGTCTTGGAGGTCACTGAGCCGCCTCTGGGATTTGTGTGTTGCAGAGGAGATAAGAACTGAGGTCATTGTTGGCCAGTGGCATGTCCTAGGTTTGTAGAGCCACAGCTGGGAGCACTTGGAAAGAAACAAGTGGGTGCAACCAGAGTCTTAGAGTGCGTTGGAAATCAGGGGCATTGCCTAGAACTGTTTGCCATTATTTGTTTGATCTGGGGAGCACTATGATAGAAAAGCCTGGGTGAAGGGCCCCGTGCCCCCCTTCTACACCATGCTGCCCTCATGGCTACCAAGAGTATGTGGAGTATTGTGGGTAAAGCCCACAAACAGAGCTATGGGGCTTTGAGCTCTTCCAAGCCTTTCTCCACAAAGGGTAGACTATAGAATTTCCCTTCAAACTAAACCAATACATTTCCCTAAATATTTTGTCTCTGGTCCATACCCAGTTGTGCACGGGCTTACTCCAGGTTTGGTGTTCAGGGGATGAGGTGGTGCTGGGCTCCAACCCAGGTCTATGTACACTAGTGCTTTGATCTCCCTAGGACCCTCCTACCCCAATATTTTTAAAATTCTGCTTTCTGGAAAATCATATATACCACTTAACTGTTTTGTAAACAAATCCAGTACAATAAAAAAAAGACCTTTTGTTTGTTTTAATGAGAAACATCTGAGTTGTACATACCACAAACAGCTTCAAGTTTCTGTACCAAAACCCTTGTGGCCAACCAGTTAAAACCCGACGCATCACTTTAAATGTGAAAAGTCTTATAAAATTAACTTACAAAAACGTCCCTATCAAGTCTGTAGTTTGGCATTTACTGTACATTCGTCAAAAGCTCAAGCTAAAATCTGATTTTCTTAAAAAAATCAAAGTTTACAGTATTCATACAGATTCGGCATTGTTAAAAAATATGCACATAGACCACATCCATGCAATATAATTTCCTTAAAAATTTAAAGCAATATAAAAGAGCTGACCTAAGACAAACAGAACATTTGGTTTGAAATCTGGAATTTAAGATTGATTGCTGATGGGAATAAAATTCTACACATTTTTAAATATGATTGTTTCAATCAGCCAATGAATTTGGTGAACCAAATGTGAATTTCCAGACCATTCTAAGGTGGGCTCGACTAGCTTGTTCCTAGAATAGATGAACACTAACTACGGCTTTACAAACAAGTCAGGATTCACAAAGTGCTTGGCTTTTCAGGAAACCGTAGCTTCCAGGATCCTGAAACCAATCAACCAACTTTACCAAAGTGTCCTGGCAACTACCGCGCAGGTTTGCCGCGCGGCGTCCCCAGAGAGCCGGCTCTGGCCCAGCTCCGAGTGAGGTGTCTGCAGCGGGTCGCTGGGCTGTGCCAATGCTCAGAACCACTGGCAGAGGGGTCAGGGATCCTGGTCAGGTCCCGAGGGAACCAGTCTGGGGGATGTTGCTCCGCAGGTCAGGCTGAGCCCCCTAGGTGGGCGGTGGCCCGTTGGTGTACCTCAGCATGGGATAGAAGGACCGCGCGAAGTTGTTGGCTTGTGTGCAGCTGTAGTCATCCTCGGAGGAGGGCAGCAGGCAGGCCAGGAAGAGGAGCAGCAGCAGCAGCAACTGCAGGGGCAGTGCCGCCCTGATCACCCGTGAGAGGAAGGAGCGCTGTGGCTGGGAGCTGCCGGACACAGCCGAGCGGGGCATCCTGCCAACAGATGAGGGTGGGCGCAACACCAAGAGGGTTAGTGGTGAACCCTGTTCGCAGCCTGAGCTTTTTAGGCAAAAACAACCCGACCTGAGTGGACCATGGGATCAATAATCCGCTTCTGATTTGGAGGACAAGCCCTGCCCTTCCCACATATTTGAAAAAATTCAGGAGAGCGGCCCCAAACAAGACGGGAGTGATGGAGCCCCAGGGCCGCACAGCTATGCATGTGCTTACCTGCTGCCGCTCTTGGTTTTGCCTTTCCTAGTTTTTTGTGCTTTGACCTGCTGGGGAAAATAATCTAGTCAACTACAGTTCACTTAGTCCTGTCAGCGATATATATATATAAAAAAAGCTATTCTCCTCAAATCATACACCTCCATTACATCGTCTTCCTGATGAGCTTTTGAGATGACGAGACTGAAGATTCAAAACTCTGAGGGCTGGAGAGGGGGCAGATGGGCTAAGTCCATGCTTTGCTTCTAGAAGGCCCAGGTGCAACCCCCAGTCCTGCATGGTCCCCTGAACACCAACCCCTGAACTTGGAATAGCTCCTGAGTACAGCCCCAAATCACACCCTCCCCAAAAGGGTTCTATTCTACAAGGTATGAAATAATCAGGTTTGTTAGATCATTCTGAGTTTCACATTTCAGTTTGTTGAACACTTGAAGCCCCTCAACATGCTAGACAGGCTTCCCCATCTTTGCCAGTGATGAGCAGCAGATCAGAACTCAGCCGTTGAGCGAGGGCTTTCAAAAGTGCATTTTAATTCTTAAAAATTTGGCTATACACCTGTGCACTGACGAGCAGGTTGAAGCTGGCCTGGGATTCTCCTGAGGTGTTCAGAGGAACCTGGAGTGCACCTTCCCACATCTCCTGAATGCTTAGAAACAATTAGCAGGGTGCGCACAGAAGAAAGGGGTCTCACCTTGGCTTGGGGGGTGGGCAGCGGTGCTGTTGGAGGCTTCTCTCCTGTGTCTTCTTTATCGACGCCAGGCAGAGAGAGGTCTGGGCTCTGAAACGCACACACCAAGGGTTCCGTGTGGGGAAAGCTGAATGGTCTCAAGTGCACAAACTCAGCTTCCCACAGCTTCTTTACTGGGCGGCTCCATCTGGCCCTGCCTCAAATCTCTCTAGAAATGGGGGCACTCCCTCCACTTTAGCAGGGCCCTTTTTTTTGTTTTCTTGCCTTTTTTTTTAGTACAAAAGGAAATGCAAATAAGAGAAGGACCCAGGAGACTGAGGGAGCAGAAGGGGCAGAGAGGTTGAGGGGACAGTGTGATCATACGGTCATCAGGTGAGGCCAGCCCCAGACACACAAGAGGCAGCAAACTCAAGAACAGACTGTCTTGCGAGGCTGAAGCTTGGCTATCCCATCTGAGGTAGACCACAATTTATGTTAGTTTTGGGTGGGTGTGGGAGTGTTCAGGGCTGTGCAAGGCAAGCACTGGGCCGCTATCCTCAGCCGCTTTCCATTGGGCCCTGGACCACAGTTTAAAGAGAAGAAAGGAGGGGCTAGAGCGATAGCACAGTGGGTAGGGCATTGGCCTTACATGTGGCCGGCCCGGGTTCAATTCCCAGTATCCCATATGGTCCCCTGAGCACTTCCAGGAGTAACTACTGAATGTAGAGCCAGGAGAAACCCCTGTGCATTGCCAGGTGTGACCCAAAAAGCAATAAATAAATAAATAAATAAAATAAAGGGAAGAAAGGAGACAAGAAAGGAAGTCAGTGAAGAGGTTGTAAATCCAGGTCTCATGAGAATGAGGAAAGTATCAGGTGAGGACCACTCCTCTCCCACTGTTGCATGGCTGCAAAGAGTTCAGGGACTCTTTAACATCCCACATCTGGGAAAGACTTGAGACAGCCCCTGACTGCATGCTCAGGTCATAAGGATTCCTAAGCAAGGCTGCAACTCTGCTTTTTCTATTTGTATCTATCTCCTCATGCAGCTTGGCACTAAATCTGCACGTAGGGCTGGGGGTGCAGAAATTGTGAGGCACAGGCCCAGCCATAGAATTTAATCCCCCCCCAGACATGGTTCCTATCAAATATTTACAACTCACCTGGCTTCCCTGCAAGGACTTTAAATCTTGGGAAACTTGCTCTAGCAACTGTTTAAGTTTTTCCTCAATAACGTGGACCTTCTCTTGGGCCTCAATGTAGTCTTCTTCATGCCCCTTGACCAGAAGGCTGTTGGAAATCTCTTGTAAGGAGTTTACTTGGGGTTGCCGTTCCACGAGCTCCTTCTCCAGTTGCTAGAAACAAAGTGTGTGAAGCAGTTCCTCATCAAAGGGGAAGCTATTGTGACCAGAGGGTCAAGTTTGGGGGTGCAGGTGGGTGGTGCTCAACCCCCAAACCTTCTTCCTTCTGTCTGCATTCTCAGGCCTACTGCTCTTACTTTGTTTTATTTTGTAGGAAACCTCTTGTTTTCTACCTTTATTTTTTCATTCCCCCTCTTCCTCATTCAGGAGATGTTTATGAGGCTGAACAGTTAGAAGTGAGGGGTAATCTGGGGCTACTGGCCCACAGCTGCAGGAAGGCAAGAGAAAACTCTGAAGCTGAGAAGCAGAGAAGCAGAGAACCAGGACCCTTTAGTATGTGGGTGGGTGGAAGACTTCTCGGCCTTCCAGACCAGTAGCCATCAGATAAAATGCAGCTACTTAAATGACTTAAAAGAAAAAAGAAAAATGCGGTTTGAGTCTCCATCACCAACTTCCCAGTGCCTGTCTTGGTAGCATATTAGCTCAGACCCAGAAGTCCCTCAGAAGTTCGACCCAACAATGCTGTTCTGGAGAGGGGCTCTCTAGTTTCTAGAGAAAAACATTTCTCGAGCAAAGACCAGCCCCTGCATTACATTTCACAGACTAAAACCAGAACATACACACAGCTGGGAACAAAAGCCACCTGCATAACGTAAGCATAGACATAAGCGCAGACTTCTCTGAGTTATTGGGATGCGCATGCTCTGCAAGAAAATACCTCAAAGGCATTCCTGCACCGACCACCTTGCACCCCCGAGGGCAGGGACACTTGGAACCAGTGTCTGGAGGATGCTGCTGAACACCTCCATCCCCACTCCTGAGCTTCTCCCAGGAGTCCTGCTCCGGACTAGGGCACATCACTCCTGCAAACCCTCTTGCTGCTTAAAAGCCACCATCTGGGCCTTGAGAGCTGCTGAACTCACCAGCAGGCCTGGGATGGTCACCTGGCACCACAGCCCCCTGAAACAGGAGGCAAGGTCCCCCTGAGTCCCTTCCTCTGACAGAGGCACCAGGAATGCCAGAGCCCAAGAAGGAAACGCACCTCTAGGTCTTCCCGACACCTCAGCAGCGCCTGGGCATCTGCCTGAGGGTCCGCGGTGATGTGGGCCTTCTGCCTCCGGCTCTCAGCGCGTGCCAGCCACAGCAGCAGGTTCTGGCTCAACTGGTGGAAATCCTTCAAAAACAAGGGCGCTTTCAGAGCTGTGTAGCCCCTCCAGGCCTCTCCTCAGAATAAAAGGCCCCCAAATGAGACAAGGGAGTCAGCCAAGTAGAAAGGGCGAGGGCAAGGTGGGGTTTCGGAATGCTGACAAGGGGACAACAGGAAGACAGCATATACTCCTCTGAAAATCTACGGGGTGCCATGGTAATAGGCGGGCAGCCCAGCACAGAGGCCGTGGCCAGGGGCCTGCCGGGAGGTAAGAGCGGGATGAGGCGGTGTGCACTCTGCCTTCAGCACACAGTACGGGGGACTCCTTAGCTGCTATTAGTCTGAATAGGACCCAGTGAGGTCGGCACTAGAATTTTTCTGACAAACTGAGGCACAGATCCCTAGCTTCTTAGATTGTGAGTCACCACTTCATATATACATTTATTTAAAAATAATTTTATCAGGGGGCTGGAGCAATAGTACAGCAGATAGGGTGTCTGCCATGCACGTGGCATACCCGGGTTTGATCCCAGGCATTCTATACAGTCCCCCAAGCACTGCCAGGAGTAATTCCTGAGCAAAGAGCCAGGAGTAATCCCTAAGCATCATTGGGTGTGACCCAAAAAGCAAAAAAAAAAATTTTTTTTTTCAGGGTTGGAGAGATAGTACAGTGGGTTGGGCACTTGCCCTGAATGCGGCTGATCTGAGTTTGATCCCCAGCATACTTATGGTTTCCCAGGCACTGCCAGGAATAAAATTCCTGAGTGCAGAGACAGAAGTGACACCTGAGCACCACTGGGGGGTGATCCAAAAGCCGAATAAATAAAAATATTTTTATGATCATCAGCAAATGAGTGACTTGTATATTTATTTTAGAGAGCCAGATATCTGGGGCCAGGTAAAAATTTCTCAGGTGAAAGGAGGTCACGAGTGGACTGAGAGTTTAGGAGCCCCAAACCAGAAGGTCCAGTGACTGGGTCAGAGTCACGCAGCTGCTAAGTGGGAGGAGTCAGTCACTCTGCCACCAAGAGGCCACTGCACAGAGCAGGCATTTCTGACCTTCTGTGTGGAGTCACAACCCTAGGAGGCGTCCTGGGCCCCAGAGTGGGAGACCGAGGGGGACCTCTCCGAAAACAATGAAATCAGACCGCCTCCTAACGCCTGTCTTGGCAGCTGTGCCAACAGCAGCCTGAAGATGCTAAAAATACCCGCAGCTGTTGTCACGTGGGTGTGGGTGTGGCTATGTGGAGTCAGCGTACCTGGCACTGCATGAGTGACTGCCGCAGGCTCTCTCTCCAGCTCTCCAGGGCGCCCTGGGCCGCGTCCCAGCGCACGCACAGCTGGCCCACTCTCCCCTGCAGCTCCCGGCTCTCGATGCTCTCCAATGGCTCCAACTCCTCGCTCCTCCCGTTGACAGAGACCACTGAGGCCTTGTATGTGTCAAAGGCGGTCAATAGCTCCTGCCAGGGAAAGAGAAGGTCAGGCCAGGCTCTCTGGAAGTGGTGGAGTGGGATTCATTGTGAGCCTCAGCAGGGAATGGATCTGCCAAAGGCGTCTCTGTCTCCGTCTCTGGGAGGGGAGGCGAGGCGAGAGGCGGCCACAGGAAATGAGAGTGACCTCGTCTGTGACTGGCTGTGTGGCATCAGGTGAGGAGCTGCCCTACAAGGACAGGGAACTGGGCTGACAGGACAGACAGCAGAAGCCCGTCTCCAGGCCGACCACTCCACCGGAAGTCTGACCAGCCCTTATAATCCCTGATGACTAACATTTCAGGGCCTGATACAAACGCCTCGAAATAACAACAATACAGTGTCGTTGCCCTTCCATTTGCCTCTATCCCAGCACAAGGAGTAATCTTTACAGTGAATGGTGCCCCTTGGTATAGTAACAAACTAGATAAAGTAAAAGTATAATGGAAGAGCGCCCGGGTTCCCCTCAACCTCTGCTCAGTCTCACTGTCCTCACCTAGTTCCTGGCTAATTCTAGCCAGGCTGGTTGTGTAGGTGATAAATCCTCATGGCACTAGATCAGACCATAGGATTCACGGGCAGTGGAGCTGGACTTTCCGGACTGTCCGCCACCTGTTTGACCCGCCTAGCTGCACCTTGTTAGGAAGCGTGGTTGGGAGCTGCCTGACAGTGGGCGTGAGTCCCTGCATTAGAGCCCAGAGGGGCCTATGAGGTCAGATCGGCCCAGGACCTGAGACATTATCCTGCAGTTGTCTAGACTCTGGATCATTTATAAACATCTGCAGTGGTGTCTTTGCCCATTACATAAGAGAATGGGGAGACCTGACTGTCCCCCCTCCTGCCAATCAGCCCAATCTGTTCATCCAGCAGCAATGTCCACAGTGCTCAGAGATCAAAGCCCTGCACTGTCTCCCATCGTGCATGCCCTCTGGCCTTCCTCTTCCCGGCTACCTTTCCCACTCACCTTCAGTCTTTTCACTCTGAGCCCCATTTCCTGGATGTCAGAGGGAGGCTCTGCTGTCTTCAGGGCTTCCAGCTCTGCTTCAGTTTTTTCCAGCCACGTGGCAATGTCGCTGAGATCAGAGTTCAGCTGCTCCAAGTTTTGCTTCATTCGGAGTTTGTTGTGCAGTTCCTGGGTTGGAAGAGGCTCCCATCTTTCAAACACACCTGGAATCAAAAGCCACCCGCAAAGAGCAATAAGGCATGAATGCACACAGTTTCCCCTGCCTCTACCCTATCAGAGTCCAAGCGACACATCCTGGAGGGTAGGAAAACTTTTCTCCTTTGGTCTATGAATGAGGATGAGAACTGCGTTTGTGACTTGACTTTTGATGTCGTTGAGTGAATAACGGTTACTTTTATACCCAATAACTGATTAAATGAGAAACTGGACATGATTCTCATAATTTTCATGTGCGATCTTTACTTGCAAGAGAAGTCGTGAGACACATGCATGTCACCACATGAGGCTCGTTTTATCCACGTTCAGAGAATAGTTTCAGGAAGGAAGTGAGGGGCCTAGAAAATCTGCCCAGTAATATGAGCCCGCAGAGCTGTATTTGGGGGAAGGGCAGCAGTGTGGGTGGACCAGAGTTGGTCAGTCCTGTCACACAGCGCCCAGATACTCAGTCTAGACTCCCATCTCCTTTGAGCCTTGCCTGGTTTAACTGTACCTGACTGTTGCCCAGCAAGGCCGGCCAGGCCCTCGTCCTCTGGTCGGGGATGGTCGCTCAGGACTCCTGCACCGTCCTTGCCACCATTTTTGGCGGGAGGTAATAGCAGCTTTACCTAGAAAGAGTCAATGTTTCAGCAGCTCAGTTTTCTGGGATGCCAAAAAGAGCCTAGGTTCAGTTTCCAAATGAGCAACACAGGACACCCTTCTGGTTAAAGAGGTTTTCCAGGGCTGCTGGCAGAAACAGAGCCTCAGCCAAGTCCCAAGCAGGGGGAAGCAATATTGGAGTAAAGTGGCCTGGTTTCACTTGTAGGCTTCCTAACACTCCTTAGATGAACTGCGCGAAGAAAGAGCGAACACAGCTGGAGATCTAGCGCAGGGGTGAAGGCGCCTGCTCAGCATGCCGCCCACTCTATGCTGTGTGCTTCCGGAGCAACCCTTCAAGGGATCCAGGGCCGGAATAGCCCCTGAGCACCACTAGGCATGGCTCAAACCACTTCCCCCACGAAACAGTGAAAACAAATCACGGAGCTTACCAAGTCTAGATGGACTCTGTCAGCACACTGCACAATGTTCCACCCAGTTTTATTTATTCCCCCAGTCACTGCACAGCTGCCTGGCATTATCATCCCCGGGCCTCAGAAGTACAGAGGACCAATCTGCTCCCTCAGGGCCATGCAATACCAAGGGTTTATCTTTCACACAGACTTGGGTTGTCACAGAGCTCCTTGGACTGTATCCTGCTTGCTGTCCCCCCAGTAAGTCTTTCCCCTTTATTTTTTTTTAAATAAATCTTTGCTTATATTTTATTATTATTATTATTATTTTGGCTTTCTGGGTCACACCTGGCGATGCACAGGGGTTACTCCTGGCTCTGCACTCAGGAGTTACTCGTGGTGGTGCTCAGGGGACCATTTGGGATGCTGGGAATAGAACCCGGGTCAGCTGCGTGCAAGGCAAACGCCCTACCCACTGTGCTATTTCTCCAGCCCCAAGTCTTTCCCCTTTAGAAAAGCCAGGTTTGCTTTGGATGGTGTCCATTAGGGTCTCTTTATGTGAAACAGGAAAAACACCCCTTCAGATTGGTTGTGACATCCCTTGCTTCAGACACAACATATACAAAGTGAAAGGATTGGTCTTGGGCAATGAACTAGGCATGGAGCACAAGCACCATCACTGGACAGGCCATCAGTCAAGATGAGGTGCTCAGGAGTCTCCCCCAAGACCATCAGGCCCTATTCGTCAGCACCAGGGAGGGCCAGATTAACAGTGACAAGAAGGAACAACAAGAGGCAGAGTCTCTGAACTGGGTCCTGATAACCTGCTACACAATACCTTGGCCTGCTATATTCTCTAGCAATAGTTCCTTGAGACACAGAGGGAATGAGACCATGTTCCCCGATGCTTATGGTTTTGCCAAGGTTCTAACCCAGGAAACACAGTTCATGAGAGAAGCTAACTCAAAGCATGCCTGGTGAGTAAGCTCACCTCTCCCCACCCCCACCCACTGGCCACCCCTAGCTTTCCAGCCTGGCAGCCACATGTGGCTCCACTCCCAGTAGGTCAGGACTTACGAAGGCTGGTTTGTAAGGGGTGCTGGAGTCGGAGGGCATGGGCTGCGCAGTCCTTTCACCTCCCAGCTGTTTGTAGTGGTGTTTGGGACAGGAAGGGCTGTCGGGAACGTGCCATGAGTGGTCCTCTGACATGGATTTAGCTGCAACAACAAGCACACAGCAAATGACAGGCTGTTCTCTCTCTCCAATCCAGCAGGTCCGTATTTAGTTACACAAAATAAAGGTCACAGGTCACATGGCATCGGGTTATAGTAGAACATGAATCTGCAGCTTTCCTTGCAAAGCATGCATGTTTGCAAAATGTCAGTTATGTCCCGGAGGGAGTGAAATGAGAGTCATGCAGCCGAGCGACACCAGGCCTCACGAGATGGGGGTCACGATGAGGATGACAAACACATGATCTGCAATGGGATGAGTGGCATGTGGGGGGGGGGGTGTCTATCGTGGTGGGACTACTTGGCAACAAGGCCAGGTCTGGGGTTAAGGGGGCTAGAGGCCTGAGGTGAGTGAGAAGATGGAGCAGTGGGATGTCCCTGGGGACCTACAGGCTATTTGTGGCTCCACCTTTGTCATGGTCCACAGACTGGCTTAGGGTCGGGGACAGACATTACAGCTGCAAGTCAAGGAAGTGGGAGCTGCTTTTCTTGTGACAAATTCAACTGTGCCTCTTCCCTTCCTTCCCACCCGCCATGCCCTTCCCAGGAAGTCACCGTAAGCGAGGAAATATTTCCAAACCAAGCCACCATGAAGAAAGCTTGGCCCACACCGAAGGACTCAGTTAGATGGAAGGAAAATATGAATTAGGAAAAAAAAAAAAAGCATCACGGTCAAGTCCCTTCTGCTCAGGCCTGCAGGGGAGGAACGGGTGGCACTGAGATGGTTTAGGGGGAGGGGAGGATGGAGGATGGGGAGGAGCCCGCGGGTATGTGTGAGCACAGCAGTGTAAATACACCATGACACAGGACTGGGGTGCATGGTGTCCACAGAAGGCAGAGGTCAGACGTGACATGGGAGCGAGGCTGAAGGGGGGCAGCGTGCACCAAAGGGTGCTGCCATGTTGAGACACATGCACGGGCAGGGGCCTACCAGAAGACGCTTTCAAAGTTTTTGTGGTCATTTTAAGATAGGCCTCAGGATTTTCAGGGATTTCTACATCTGAAAAAGAATAATGTTGTTTTCCTCACTGCGCCAGTCTGCAGATGAATGCCCAAGCGTTAAGTCACAAAAGTAGAAACATTTGGAAGGAGAATGGTCAGGGCCCTTTATCTGCTTGATGAGTTTCAAAGTCCGGAAGGAACTTTCTCAGGTCCCTCCAGCTGTGGGGACAGTGGTTACCACCGTGGGGGGTGTGGGGGGCGGGGCGAGGAGGAGGAGCAGGGGGAGAATGAGAAAAAGCTCTGCCCACCGCTCACTGGGGAGCTCGTGGCATCAGCAAGGGGCTGTGATGTCCCAAATGTGGGTTTTGTTTCTGTTATCTTTTTGGCCTACAACCGAGGCTGAGCCTGCTCTCAGGTACATCACAGCGAGGCTGGGCAGAACCCCCCAGGTCAGGGGTCGCCGAAAGCTGGGTCTGTGGCCATGCTGCTGAGGAGCTAAAAACAAAGCCAGATGGGTCTATGCCAAGGGTGCGGAGGAGGCAGCAGGTACCTGACAGGGCACTGTAGAACGGGCCTTCCTCGTCGTCTTCGTGAGAGGACGAGCCCCCCACATCACCTGTGTGGTCCCACTCCAGGGGGATGGAGTCCACGCTGACGGGCGTCTCACAGCCCGAGCGCTCAGGCCCGGGTGCTGAGGGCACCAGATGACAAAGGGACGGAGGCGAGGACGGCTCCTCGCTTTCTCTCCGTTTATGCCAAGAGTCGGTCTGGATCTCCCTGGGGTCTTCCATGTCTGTCTCCGTCTCAGAGGCTTCCTTTTCATCTTCCAAGTCCTGGAAGGGGAGTAGCCAGGGTCTAGAATTAGCCAACCACAGGGACTGAAGGGAGCATGGCAAGTCTGCCTGTCCAGGACAATCACGGAGATGCCACCATCGGCATTTCAGAGGCAGTGTTCCCAAGGATCTGTTTTTCTATCAGGTCTCCAGGACTCTCTATGTAGGGGGGTGGGTGGGAAGAAAGGGAGCCTAGGATCTACTTTCCACAAACTCCCCATTCCTTTCTAGGAAAGAGCTGAAACTTGGTCTGGGAGGAATCAAGCCAGAGTTTCATAGATGGCTAATGGCATGTTCCTCCAAGAAGATGAAAATTAAAAATCTGTTTAAGGTCATTAGAGGGTTGTGGATATGATTCAAGAATCACCTGCACAAGGTCCCTTTCTTCCTTACTTCCCAATCTTACTGTTCATAAGACAGAAACTTTTTCTCCCCGAGCTATAATTCCTCTGTCCAACAAAGGAAAATGATTTTGCACTGCTCTGTTTACAAATGAGGAAATGAGGGGGATTTGAGGCTATGTCTGAGGCAGAAGTAACTGTGGAGGGCTGGGGAGACACTACAGCAGATAAAACTCTTGCCTTGCACGTGGCTAACCCAGCTTTGATCCCTGGAAACACATATGGTCCCCCTGAGTCTTGCCTGGAGTGGCCCCTGAGCACTGTCAGGGTGCCCCCAATGTGTCCCCCCATCCCACAATCCTCCTCAAAAAATCTGGTCCCCCAGCAGGTTTGTGGGCGGGGGGGAGGGGGGGAGAGTGCCCCTACCAGAGGGTCAGAGGTCAGGCGCTGATGGAATCGGGAAACCCTCCCGAACACCTCCTGGCAGAAGCGGTGCAGCTCCTCCAGCTCATCCTCGATGAGCACGGCATCCAGGGGCTCACTCTTCTGAATAAGCTGCTCCCCGAAAACAATGAGCTGATCTATCTTGTTAGTGTTCAGGGTGATTTCCTGTTGGAATCCCTGAGAAAGAGAGAATGGGTTTCAAAGAAAGTACTTCCCTGACCATCCAGACAAGAGGCTCCCAGACGGACTCAGCTTTCACAGAACCAAAATGGCCCAGTGCCCACGTGGAAATCTATATTCCTTAGTGGACCAACAGGGCCTTCCTCAAACTTACCTTGGGGTTCTTCCAACTCTCAGTGTACCCGCTAGAGGCGCAGCATCTGCTACTTTGGGAAACTCAAGAAACAATGTTTCTACTAAGGGCAACCCCTCCTACCCCCAACCCAAAGCATCAAAATGTCATTTTGGTTTTTGCTCCTCTGCCTCTTTCTCAACCTTCTTAAGTTTTTAAATGACAATAAAGATTCATTTCAAATGACTGAATGTATTTTTTTCTTCCCACTCTGCCCCTCCACACTGACTTTTCCAATTAAAACATTTGCCTTGGGGGTAGAGGGACAGTGATTATTATTGCATGTGAGGGACAGAACTTGTGTGAGGGACACCGGGTGGAAACAGACAATCCACCCAGTAAGTGGCCAATAGACCCTTATTCTAGAGAGACAGAAAAACAGTGTTTGGGGGTCATTAGACTGGAAAAGGCAAATCTCGATTCCCAACCTCTCGTAAAGTGCAGCCAAGGAGGGAATTACAGTGAGATGAAAGTGTGATACAGGTCAGGGTGACTGTGGGAGGTAGCTGACCCCTGCTAGTGACACACTTTGGATACACTTGCCACATTCCCATCAGCGAGGTGCTCAGGGCTGGAGAAGGAACATCTCACCTAACTCTCACATGTGTCTCCTGCAAGAGGATTATGAATGACAACAAGAACACAGAGCCTTGTGCTCATCCCCCGTGGCGGTCAGGAGCAGTGTCCTTGCTCGCGGTGACCCAGCAGCTTGCAGACCACACAGCCTGGCTGCTCTCCCAAGTTGGGGACCTGTTCTCTGGGCACTTGGGGAAGTCGCGTCAGCCAGAGCGCATGTTCCTTACATTCAGCTGCCGCATCTTGTCGTCAGCGTCACTCTCTGAGAAGTGCTCCACGTTCGTCAGCTGCAGGTCCATCTCTGTGAGCCACACCACAATGCTGTCCCTCGTGCCCTCGAATTCTTCTCTCTGGCTGATGAAATGCTGTGAGAGCAAAGGAAACCATGCTTGTGTTGGTGAGGAGAGTTTAGGTGGAAGGCATGATCATGTGCAGAAACCTGTCTGGGGAGCCTCCGGGGGAACCCCGCCAGAGCCCCCAGAAAGTGTGGGGCCAGGAGTGTGAGTCTTATTCTGGCTGTGTGATACCAAATCCACCCCCAGAGTTCTGAGTCTCCCATCTTTCCCATGGTGAAAGTGTGAGGATAACGGGGATGAGGATGACCTCTGAGGTCCTCCCAGCATTTACTCTGAGGTCAGGGATTTCTCTCTACCTGTCCTGTGAAACGCTGATGCTGGCACGTACCCAGGGTGGCTCACAGGGGGCCATCCCATGGTAAGTGTGTACCATGGGTGGCTCACACCTTGCTGTTAAAATCACACAGACTTGCACTGCCAAATATGTACAGTAGTTTGTTAAAATGGTTTGGTAAGTAGAAAAAAGTGCTGTATCACTAAAAATGAATATGCTTATTGATGATTTGAAAACTTCAATTTATATTCATTGAAAGAAAGTAGGATTTATTTAACAAAATGGCCAGATTGCGAGAAACACAGATCAGAGCTCTGGAGTCAGCACCTTTAGGAAGCCCCTGAAGGGCAGGGCAGGCCAGGTGCTCTGCCCGGTTCTGCCCGTTCACCTTCTATGAAAGCTTTCACTTTGACAAAGGCACTTAGTAGCTTCACCATGGAAAAGTACTGGCCTTGGGCTTGAGCCTGGCCTGCACTGATGTAATTCTGAATGTTTCCTTGGAGTAAGAAGATCCAGAGATTTATCACCTCTAATTAAGGATGCCTCTCAGGTTACCACCTTAGAGATGGGCAGCTGATTTTCAGAAAAATGTAGCATTCAGTGCCAGTGAAAGGGTTATAGTGCTGACAGTCAAATGAGCAGGGAACAGAGAAATTAATGCAAGAAGGCTGTCCAAAATGCTCGCTGATTTCTTCCTCAGAAGGTTAAGGAAAAAAAAAAAAAGTCTAGCTTCTCATCTTCCTCAACTGGTTTCAAGAGCTTTCTGCTCTGAGAACAGAAGCAAGATTAAAATTACTTCCTGGAGACCAACACTGGTCCTGTTTAAACTTGTAATTATGAAAGGTTGACAAACACTATTGTCTGACTTACAGGAAGCTAAAGTGAATGTACATTAACACACACACACACACACACACACACACACACACAGAAATCAGGCCTGACCTCTGAGGCGAGTCTTCTCTGAAATTCACCAGGTGCTCCCTGCACCCCTAACCAAACTCTGGAATACAGGGGGTAGGGGGAGGCATATCCACATTCCTCAGAGTGCACAAGCAACCAAATGGAGCAGGGGTGCTGGACACAGTAGGCCTCATTTCAGAGACCAGAGGCACCTTCAGGACCCTGAGAGGCAGTTCAATGAGCAGGCATGTGTGTTTTGCATGTGGGGACCCAGGTTTGGTTCCCAGAACCGTGGAGTCTCCAAAGCACAGAAGTGGGAATAGCCAGTTGGGTGTGGTCTTCCCCCAACCCCCCAAAGAAACAGATAGCTTCTATCGCCCCCGTGACATCAGCACTCCAGTGCTGTGGGCACCTGTGAGCTGACATCCAAATCTTCAGGGGTGAGTAGAAAAAAAAGAGGGGTTCAGTGACATAAACCACAACAACAGGTTCTGCTGCCATGGAAACATCTTTTCTGGGGGTTGGGGGTTAGGGTTTGGACCACAGTCCCTGGCTGTGCTAAGGGGCTGCTCCTGCTCTAGGATCACTCCTGGTGGTGCTCAGGGAACCATGTGGTGCTGGGGATCAAACCAGAGCCACTGCATGCAAGGCAAGAGCCTCAACTCTCTTTAGTCCAAATACCTCTTTTAGGAAAAAGCACGCTGGTGGCTTTGGACCTAAAGCAAAGGGAAGTGTGCACAGGGATAGGGCGGGTCTTGCGGACAATCATGAGTCGCTGCTCAGGTCGACCTGACAGCATGATCCCAGGATCCCATGATGCTGACACCCTCATGGCTCCCCCATCAAGCTACACAGCCCGGGGCGGGAAGGTTTACTCTGAGTCTGCGCAGGATGGCCGTGACGCGCTTCTGCAGGCTGTCCCAGCGCTGGTTGCCCTCGTGGACCATCTGCTTGAGTCTGCTGGCCGTGTCGGTGCGGTTCTCACGGGCCAGCCGCCGGTACTGCTTGTTGATGAGCTCCAACTGTGTGAGTCGCTCATGGATCTGCCGCTGGAAGGCCTGTGGCATACATGCACCCTCAGCACACAAGTGGGCAGGGGGCCCCCAAACTATCAGCTGCTCAGGGCCAGGCCCACAACATCACTGCCTGGCAGCCGGTAGGGTGCGGAGTCGGGGTTAGGCCATTATTAGGATATTAGTGGACACGAGAAAGTCGGCCCCCGTAGGGGGCATGCGTGCTACTAGCAGGGTTCAGGCATGCAGGTGGGTGATGAGGACCCTGCCAGAAGAGGGCTTACCTCAAATCGCTTCAGCTCCTCTTTGGCACTGGTGTACAACACCTCTGAGGAGTTTGGGTAGGCAGCCGTTCTCTCAGCAGACTTGAGCCAGTCCTCGAAGCGGGAATAATCATCTAGGAACTTCTGCCACAGGCGCCAGGTCTCCTCAATTCTGAAGGGAGGAGAGAAACTTACTACGAGTCACCCCTTCCAACCTGGAGCTTCCTACGGCCCCTCGTGCAGCCTCAACCCTGCCCCCTAGGGCCCCCAGCCCTGGTATGGTCCAGGGGGCCCTAACCCAGCTCGTCCCCTCAGGAACTAATTGGGGGCATCATTTCTTGGCCAGGATGTCTCTTCTGAGGGTGTCAAGTGCCCGAGAGCACTGGTGGTGCCAGTAGGAACCAGGGCATCTCTAGCACCTTTAGCACTGGGCACACACAAGATCAGCGGTTAGCCACGGTCCCAGCCTGAGATCCAGAGAACTGGGTGAAGCATTCTTCTCATTATGGTTTTCTTGGCTGATTCCTCTTGAGAGCACTGGCCATGTCCACTGAGCCCCATCACCCCACAGACTTCCAGGGACGCGCCTCACTAGGGACCTCACTCAGACCATATGCAGGTGCAGCGCGGGCCCAGCTGCAGATCCGTGAGGTGGTGCAGGGCCTTACTTCATGCGCCGCTCCATTGACATGGCACAGATATTCCGCCAGCGCCTGTCCAGGCTCCTGGTGGTCTGCTGGATGGAGTCACACTCGGTCTCATTGGCGCAAGCATCCGAGTCGTGCAGTAGCACGTCGCATATGCTGAACACCGACTCCACGCCTGCGCTGTGTTGCTCGATGTCCCGCTGCAGGTCCTGCCATCACAACAAAGTGACACGTGCCTTCAGACCAGATGGTGCTGGAGGGCAGACGGGCAAGAGCATCCACGCTTCTCACCTTGGGCTATAGTCCTGGCTGCCAACAAGGTGCCACCCACACCCCAGGGTGCCATCTACACCCCACACTGGAACCAAAAGAACTAGGAGGAGGAGAGGGGTGCCGAAGGGCTTGTCCCAGAGGTATTTTCCTCCAGGGACACAGTATATCACCCTTCCTCACTGTGAAGATGCACAGAGAAGAGGAAGGAGAAGGACTCTCCTCTATGCAGCAGACCCTTGAGACATGATGGTGAGGGTGTGGGGGATAACTGGCAAATGTCACTTTGTGGGGGAGGCATGAGGAGAGGACCCCAAACTTTCATATCTGATCTATGGAAGCAATCGAGCATCTGATAGCATGTAATAAGCACGGAAGCACAGGTAGGATTTTGCCAGATGGCTCCCTCCGAAATTCTTTTGTGACACATTTCTATTTTCTGCTTTTGATGGAATATCTAAAGTCTAAGCTTAGCATGATGATAAACATATGGCAACCAAAAAGAAAAAAAACTCTAAAAGGTTCCTCAAGGCCTGTCTTTAATAGGTAGAAAATTAGGTCCCAGACCCCTCTAAAGAATCTGTGTCCTCATCCCCAGATTATATTAGGTTACCTGAAAAAAGAGAATTAAAACTGACTTGAAAGGAGGTACATTATCCTGGATTATCTGGGCGGGTCTAGTGTGATCTGAGGAGTCCTTAAGAGTGGAAGAGGCAAGGTGCAGGGGCTTAAGGGGCTTGACAGGCAAGTGCAGACTGTGAGTTTGATCCCCTCCCCACAAGCCCACCATCCGGCAATCCTGGAGCCCTGGATGCTGAGGCCTTCCCAGCAGCCCTGCTGAGAGTGATCCCCAGAGAAAGGCCCAGGAGATGGCTCACGTGCCCAGGGAAGCATGAGGTGGCAAGCTTAATCTCCAGGGTCTTGAGTACATGTGAAGACCACACTGAGGTGATTCTGAATACCTGAGGGTCTGGGATTCTGCACTGAGTGGCAGAGGGGGGGGCAGTCAGGATAGTGATAGTGGGAAAGAAACACAGGAAGCAATGTTTTTGGCTTGGAGTGGGCTCATGGGTCAAGAAATGTGGGGACATACAGAGGGTCAACAGGTATATGAAAAAATTGCTCTGCATCACTGGTCATCAGGGAAATGCAAATCAAAACAATAGCAGCAATAGTGATAGCAGCTCACTCCAGTGAGACTGGTATATAGCACAAACAATGAAAACAACCAGTGTTGGTGTGAATGTGGGGGAAAGGACTCTTATCCACTGCTGGTGGGAATGTCAACTGGTCAAAACCTCTATAAACACTTCAAAAACACTAAGAATTAAGCTTCCATATGACCCCAGCAATTTCACTACAGTTCTTGGCATCTACCCCCAAGGATCCCAACACACTCTTTTGAAAAGACATTTGTACTCCTATGCTCACTGCAGCACTATTTGCTATAGCCAAGATCTGAAACAGCTTAAGTGTCTAAGAACAGATGACTGAATAAAGAAATGGTGGCATATATTCACAATGAGACAGTACTCAGCTACAAGAGATGATGCAATGATGCAATTTGCTGTTACGTGTGTGAATGGATCTAGAGAGGACCATGCTGAGTGAAGTTAGTCAGAAGGACAGATACAGAACGCTCTTCCTCTTATGTGAAATATAAAGAGACAAAGGCAAATGGCCAAAGGCAACAGAACCTGAGAGCTGGCCTACAGATCTGAGTTTACCACTGTGGGGGCAGGGGCTGAGGGGTAGAATGAATGGTGGGACGAAGTAGAAACTCTGGTGGAGGGGGGTTGATGTTAGAACTTTGGATGAATGAAATCCTCTTATTAGAAAAACTGTAAATCGTGGTGCCTAAAATAAAACATTTGGGGCCTCTAAGAGCAAGAAATGGGTTCATGACTCAAGAAAGGAATCTAACCCTGTGGGCACCTTGATCTCTGTTGAACTGGATTTCTGTCACCCAAGAAAAAAATAATTTTGGACAGCTACAGCTGGGGACTATGTGATGGAAGAAATATAAAATAAAAAAACAAAAAACACCATGGGACTTCTTTATGGCAATGGTGGTTCTGAATACTCACTCCACTTCAGGGGTGGGTGGGGAGTGGTAGCTGGAGATAGAATTCATGAGGTGACTGAACTGTGTAATGAAGAATCCTTGGAATCAACCAGTCAAAATGATCAGCCGTTTTGTATAGAAACAAGCAAGGCTGAAAGGATAGCAACTGCTCCAAATTGTATGCTCCTGGGGAAAAAAATTCCCCGCAATTTACTGTACCCTATCACACACAGATTGGTAATATGTAAATAAATATGATTAGCTACTCCCAAAGTTAGTCATTCTTTAAGAGGAAAAATGTTTTTAGTCTCTATATTATCTACCTACAAAAACACCCCACTCGGGGTTAAAAGATTATTTGCAAGGCCAGTTCTACTAGGAGGCTGCTGGAGAAACTCCCATAATGGAGCTAGCTTAAAAATAAAGCTGTTAATGTGCAGTAACTGTGACCTGACTGAGGAGGCATTAGTGTCCATTAACATGGTATTTATCTCAATATTACTCATTTCTGCACAAAGCAAAGACAGAATTTAAATGACCTCAATTGAAAAAAAGACATGCTTAAATTGCAGAGTCTAAGTGGGAAAACCAATACTTATATTTCTGTAACATTGCTAAATGGCACCACTTTGAAAATCCAAGGGCGAGGCATCCTTTAAACAGTAACTGTGAAGCAATCATGAATCAAGGTTTAAGTCAAGAGCACTATCAAACATTGAGATCTATTTTGTGGGAGTGTGAGATGTCATTTAGGACCAAGAGCAAGACTAACCTGAACTGAGGAGAAATTACCTTCAGACCACCTTCGCCTGAAAAATGTTCAGGAATGGGGATGAGGCTCAAGTGAGCAGTTAGAGCACATGCCTTGCCTGTGTGTGCAGGGCCTGGGTTCCAACCACATGGGCCACCAGTACAATATATGTGACCCACTCCCAGAACATTAGAAAAGAAAGAAAAAGGTTCAGCCCTCAATTCCGACTGGAAGAAGCCATGGGGATGATCCTGCCACGTATCACCAAGGCTGAGGAGCAACACGTAGAACAGAGATCAGAGTGTGAGAATCAACACTGTGTAGAGCCGTCTGTCAGAACAGGTCTGGGGAAGGCAGAGGTGATGGAAAGCATTATATGGATGACTTCAAAATTACAGAGCAGCTCAGGAACTGCACGAGATTAAACCTGAGCATGTAGGACCCTTAGGGGCACTGGGATGTGATCAGATCAGTGACACAAGACAGCACTGGGGAACTCTGACAATAAGGAACAGCTGGGGCCGACCCAAGATGGTGCAATGCTGAGCTCGCAATGCAATGCAAGAGGCACTTCCTAAGCTACAGTCCAGTTGTGTTCCTGAGAATATCGTTTTCTCCCTCTTTAAAGAATTTTTTGGGGAAGAACTCGATTCAATAGACTATTGTTCCATGAAAACATTCCTGGGTTGGAAAATTATTTTCCATTCAATTTCTGCCTTTCCAAACTATACAATGAATAAAAAAAAAACAAACTTTGAAAAACAACAACAAAAAATACCAACAAAATAAGTAAAACCTGTTCAGGGAATCAAAAAAATAGCTCAAAGGGCCGGCATGCATGCATTGCATGTGAAAGGTCTGGGTTGGATCTTGGCAAAGCATATTCCTCCCTACCAGCCCCAACCAACACCTCAGGGTTGACTCTCCCCACGCCCCACCAGCACCACTAGGGTAAAGCCCAAAGGCCCAAAAAGAAAAGTCAAACAAAAACCTATTCATCACTGAGGTCAAGGTCTATATCTTAAACACCACTCACTCAAAGCCTTTCACAGGGTACGCCCAAGAGCGGTGGAGAGAGAGGAGTACAAGTTTCTCTCTGAACCAGCCAAGGTGAACTAGCAAAGCACGCGGTCAACCCGGGGCAGGTGTGAGCAGGTATGGTGCCTAATCCTACAAAAGCTCCTGGTTCATTTCCCCACCTGTTGCTCCGCCAGCCGCTTCTGGATCTCCTGGTCGTCACAGACATCGTAGACGACGGGCTTGGAGAGCTCAGATTCAATCCGGGCCAACCAGGTGCGAAGGTTGCTCATGTTTTTGTCTAACTGCTGAATGAAAGCAAAGGTCTCCTTCAGCTTCTTCACCCTAGACATATTTACAGGGGAAAGAAAAAGTGAGAGATAAGAAACCAAAGCTCATTGGTGAATGGTGAGGAGCATGTGCCAAGGAGGGTGGGGTCGGCTCACAAGCGCTGAGGCTGCTACCAGTGGGGGCATGAGAAACTGACCAGGGAGGAGTTTTCACAGATGTGACAACTTCCAAAACTGCTACTGCTGTGGTTGATCTCCAAAGGGACTGGAGAACTTATCCACTCACGGAAGTCAGTCCTATCTCCTGCAGAGCTGGAGTTCAGCTTTCCAGGGTTCAATTGGATGGGTGCCAATACCCTGATCTTTGCCTGCTGAGTTGAAGGAGTGGCCAACCTGCAGTGGCCAGTGGCTTTCCTTTATAGGGCACACAGCCCTGGCTCACAGGGGGGGTTCTTCCCCTCTCCTATGCAAGTACAGAACTGCTGCTGGACCCTACAGGTTCACATGTAGAGCTGGCCCGTGATGGGGCAGCTGTGTCAGTCAAAAGGGGGTACTGGACTAGAGGGGCAATACTAGGGTAAGGTGCTTTGTCTTACATATGGTCACCCCCCAGTTCGATTCCTGGCACTGCATATGGTCCCCCAGCATGGAGCAGGTCTAATTCCACTGAGTCCACGCGGACAGGGATAGACATGGGATCAGTATATATGCTGGACTCACTGGGACGACAGCAGCTAAGGGGGGCCACTGACCCCCAAAATGAAACTCTCCCCTAAACTGCCTTCCAGAAGGTATGAGAACAGAGCAAGGAAGGGCTTGTTCTGGTGATTTGTGGGGGCCTTCATGACTTCCGGGAAAAGAAGAAATGGCTTCTTGGAAAAGTCCCCACTTGGTGAAGCTTGTGTGCTGAGGTACAGTGAGAACCACCACAGGTGACAGTAGGAAGAGGAACAGGCTCACCCTCACCCACACCAGCTGCCACTGCCCACCCTTGTTCTGCAGCCCCAGTGTGCCAGCTTGATGCAAGCCTGACCCCACCCCGATGCCTCCGCATCCTCACCCTCCTGGACAGATCAGCTGAGCCCCGGACCTTTCCAGCTCAAGCATTTGGTGGCTCCTCTGCTGCCAGCCCTGTCCTGCAACACAGCCCTTCACTCCTCTGGGAGCTCTGACTACTGCTCACTGAAAAGCCAGGTCCCCTCGCCCAGGTGCTCTCATAGTGCTGGGGACCCTGTCGTTAGCACTCCATGTCCATGGTGCTCCTGCTGCAGCAGAATCCATGGGCCAGGGGGGCTACAGGCCCTCTCCTAGGTGGACAGAAGCACTTTTACCAGAGGGAGTCTTTCAGCGAGCCACATTGCTATGTCTGTGTACTTGGATATTTTCTCTTTGCATCCTACAGTGGACAGAAGCCAACCCCAGGAAGTGACTTTTATTTATTTATTTATTTGCCTTTTGGGTCACGCCTGGGGTTGCACAGGTATTACTCCTGGTTCATGCACTCGGGAATTACTCCTGGTGGTGCTGGGAGACCAGGAGATGCTGGGAATCAAACCCAGGTCAGCTGCGTGCAAGGCATACGCCCTACCCATTGTGCTATCGCTCCAGCCCTAGGAACTGACTTTTAGCTCCATCTCAATTACCAGCTAGTTTTATGATGTAGGGGGAAAATGCTCTGGTCCCTTCATCTCTCCCAGCCAGGCCTCAGAGGTCTCTCTAGCTTCAGGGACAGTAGCATGTGGGGGGGGGGGGGGGCGGTGGACGGGACATAAGGCCAGAGCCAGCTGGGGCTGAGTTGCCTGGCACCATCTGAGGATTGTGTATCCTGCAAGAATCAAACCTGCCTATCTCCCAGTTTCCTGGGCACTTTGCAAAGTTATCCAGAAGTCAGCGAACATAGTAAAGCCTCTGGTGTGTCAGTAAGCCACATTGCTATGTCTGGTGTGTCAGTAAGTGCCTAAAGTCCCATCACTGCTAACCAGGATTACGCAGCGCTCTAGTACTCTCTCCTTCACGTAGCAGTAGGTCCTTCATAAAGACTGCTCTCAACAGTGCCAAAAGGTAGGCAGGCATGGGAGGAGGCCATGGATTCTGATGTTGCAGGGAGGGCACAAACTTTGTGGCCAGGGTCTGAGTTTGAATCTTGACTGCACTTTATCTACCAGAAAAAATGATGCCAGCAGTAGTGTCTGGCTAAACTGGGTTGGGAGGGTTCAAATGAGACACACACATGGAAGGCATCTGGCATGGCCTGATGAGCCAGAAACTATGCTCATGATGATTTTCAAGATGTTTTCCAGATTATTCTCTTATTGCAAGTGCCATAGGAGAAATTCCCTTCAGCCTCACATGATGATTTATTAAAAAGGTGGTAACAGAATCCAGGTCCAGGCCTGGACAGAGCTGTAAGCTCTGGCTTTAGAAGAACCCCAGGCTTGCAGGGCAGGGAGCTTGTTGTGCAGTTTGCAGTGGTTAGACTCCAGGATGGCTCTGGCTGGAGGTGCAGCAGGCCCTCAGAGCTTCCCTGGGCAGGAGAGAGGCAGGAGGGGAGCTCAGACTCAACACTTATGCCCAGGCTGCCTGCCTGCCCCTCCTGCAGTGCCCATCAGGGCAGCCCCACAACAACTCCTAGCACCTGACCTGTCCATCCGAAGACCCCATCCTCTTCATTCAAAAAAAAAGGCCAGGGAGCTAGTACAGAAAGTTTAGAACAGCACTTGCTTTCCATGTAGCCAACCCCAGTGCTGATCACCTGCATCACAACTGGTCCCCTAAGCACTGCCAGGAGTGATCCCTCAGCATAGAGCCAGGAATAAAACCTGAGCACCACTGGGTGTGGATGAAAATGAGAGAGAGATTTGTTTATTGCAGCACTCTTTACAATAGCCAGAATCTGGAAAAAACCTGAGTGCCTGAGAACAGATGACTGGTTAAAGAAACTTTGGTACGTTTACACAATCGAGTACTACGTAGCTGTTAGAAAAGATGAAGTCATGAAATTTACATATAAGTGGTACTACATGGAAAGTATCATGCTAATCGAAATGAGTCAGAAAGAGAGGGATAGACATAGAAAGATTGTATTCATCTGGGGAACATAAAGTAACAAAATAGGAGACTAACACCCAAGAGTGGCTGAGATTAGTACCAAGAATTTTGCTCCATGGCTTGGGAGCAAAGATAGAAAAGCAAAGGGAGCTCAGATAGAAAAGGGAGCACCAAGTAAAGGGTGTTGGGAGGATCCTCCCAGGATGGGAGAAGCATGCTGAAAGTAGACTACAGACCAAACATGATTGCCACTCAATGCCTCTTTTGCAAACCACAACACCCAATAATAAGAGAGAGAGAACAAAAGGGAATGCCCTGCCACAGAGGCAGGGTGGGATGGGGGCAATGGGGGGTTGGAGGGATACTGGGACCCGTGGTGGTGGAAAATGGGCACTGGTGAAGGGATGTGTACTTGATCATTGTATAACTGAGACCCAAGCACAAACATTTGTAAGTCTACAACTGTACCACATGGTGTTTCACTAATAAACAAAAAAAAATGAGAGACAGAGACAGAGACACAGGCACAGACACAGAGACAGGCAGGCAGACAGACAGAGACAGAGACAGACAGAGAGAGATAGAGAGAAAGAGAGCACACTTTTAAGTAAAAAGATAACAGGCAGGGATGTGGCTCAGAAAAATGCCTTGCATGTGTACAGCACTACAACTCAATCCCTGGCAACACACACACACACACACACACACACACACAGCCAAATGATAAAGAAATAAGCAACAAAATAACCCGTATGTAAAAACAGAGACACAGTAATATTGACTCCTCTTAATCCCAGAGTGAGGGGCATAATAATGAGTTGTGGGGGGAGGAGGAGGCAGAGGAAATGATGTTCTTGGCCTTTTAGGACAGTGGTACTGTAGGTCATTGGTGACCACCAACCCAGTGCTCAAAGATGCACAGGAAAACAGATTTTCTACTGTGATCCCATAGCATAGTTTTTACATTTCTATGTTGTGGATGCTTTTGAGCCTACACACTGGTGAAATGAAACATCTACAGGACATGTGGACATCTGGTCTTTACATGTTATCAACTCATTTAACCTTCACGACAAAGTTGAACATATTTTTAGTATACCATTTGGCATGTGACTGTGACTGTGACCATTTGGCATAATCGAGGCACAGAGAATAAATAACTTGAGTGGTAAGTGCAGAAATCTAATCCTGCACCAGTAAGTACTTTCCTCATGGGATCTCACATAAGATCTGCATCTGCTAATGAGCACACAGCAGCCCCTTGTCTAAGGTACAGGACAATTTTTGCTACTGTTAGGAAACAAGGTCAGAAGTCTTGATTTGGGCCACAGAGACAGATAGTACTGGGGGAACACAACGGCACTGCATATGTTTCAGTTCCCAGCACCCACATAGAGTCTCCTGAGCACTGCTAGGAGTGATCCCTGAGCACAGAATCAAGCAGTTCTGAGCGATGGCTGGAAAACCTCCCCACCCCATAAAGAAGTTTGGCCTCCTGAGTCCAGAGAACACCTGGGGGAGGTGTGCATCAACCACATGCTGTGCTGTGAGCTCATGTCCCCTCATGTCCCCTCTACACTTTCCTCCAAGGAACACTTAGCCGTTAGCCCAACGTGGCCCTAATGCTGAGGAATCAAAGAACTAAAATATAAGTCTTCATCCAAAGAGCTCATTGTAGAAAGGAGACCTAATTTGAACACTATAATTCCACAATACAAGAGGATTGTAGAAAGTCCCTTCTAAATAAGTGATGTTCATTCATTCCTTTGAATTTGCTTTCATAAAAAGGTGGTCAGATTATATTTTATTATAATATAATATAATAATATATTTTACCTATTAATATTGTTTGGGGGCCACACCCAGCAGTGCTCAGGGTTTACTCCTGGTTCTGCACTCAGGAGCCTCCTGGCAGGGCCTCGGGGGTCTTTTATGGTGCTGGGGATGAAATCTGGATCAGCCACATGAGATAGATCTCTGACCCACCAGGTTAGAGTTTAAGGAAAA